ATTTCTTAAACTTAGTTGTAAAACTGACGTCCTCCTTGCAGGATTAAAATATATTCTGCAAAAATCTGATTATCTTTCTGTAGCTATTAATAAAAAAAATTAAATCGGTTAAGAGTCTGGGTGTCATCCACGATAACACCCTATCCTTTGAAGCTCATGTTAATATCACTCATACTGCATAGCCTACTTTCATTGAAGTAATATCAATCATCACTGTCCCTCCCTCAAAATGAGTAGCACTGCAGTTCTTCCATGCACTGGTTGCTACATGTATTGATTACTGCAGTGCTCTCCTATCTGGTCTCCATTCTAAACATCTTTATAAAATTCAGTTGTTTAAGAACTCTGCAGCTTGTATTCTTTCTAGAACTCCTTCCATCAAGCATATTTCTCCAGTTCTTTAGCGATTATACTGGCTTTCTGTATTGTAAATGTATCGATTGTAAATTTCCGCTTCTTACGTTCAAGGCTTTTAAAAATCTCACTCCTCCATACCTTAAAGGATTAGTTCACTTCCAGAATAAACATTTCCTGATAATTTACTCACCCCCATGTCATCTGAGATGTTCATGTCTTTCTATCTTCAGTCGCAAAGAAATTAAGGCCTCCATACCTTAAAGGATTAGTTCACTTCCAGAATAAACATTTCCTGATAATTTACTCACCCCCATGTCATCTGAGATGTTCATGTCTTTCTATCTTCAGTCGCAAAGAAATTAAGGTTTTTGAGGAAAACGTTCCAGGATTTTTCTCCGTATAATGGACTTCAATGGGAACCAACGGTCTGAAGGTCCAAATTGCAGTTTCAGTGCAGCTTCAAAGGGCTCTACGTGATCCCAGCCAAGGAATAAAGGTCTTATCAAGCGAAACGATCAGTCATTTTCTAAAAAAAAATAAATAAACCTTTATATACTTTTTAACCACAAATGCTAGTCGTGCACTAGCTCAACTTCATGCATTACGTAATTATGTTGGAAAGGTCACGCGTGACGTAGGCGGAAGCACCGACCCAACGTTTACAAAGCGAACGGGCAAAGAAAGTCAAATGCCCTTTACAAAAAAAGGTAAAACAACGATGTCGGTCGATTTTGAAGTTGGAGGAGAAAATGAGATTGAGTGTTTCGCCCTACCCTACCTTTCTGAACCCCGGAGTACACAGATGAAGAGCTTACCGCACTTGACCTTTCCAACGGGATTACTTAATACGTAAATGCATGCGCAAGCAGAGCTATAGCAAGACGAGCATTTGTGGTTAAAAAGTATATAAATGTTTATTTATTTAAGAAAATGACTGATGGTTTGGCTAGATAAGACCCTTATTCCTCAGTTGGGATCGTGTAAAGCCCTTTGAAGCTGCACTGAAACTGCAATTATTATAACCGTTTGGTAACTGTTGAAGTCCACTATATGGACAAAAATCCTGGGATGTTTTCTTCAAAAACCTTAATTTCTTTTCAACTGAAGAAAGAAAGACATGAACATCTTGGATGACATGGGGGTGAGTAAATTATCATGAAATTTTAACTTAAAGGTCCCATATTGTCAAAACTGAAATGTCCTGGCTTTTTTTCACGATTACTGAGGTCTAGGGGCTATTTAACTACCATATAAGTTTCAAAACAGTCAGTCCACAGTAAAATTCACACAGCCTGCTTAAAGTTCTAGCTATTTTTCACAAACCGTTGTGACTTCCGTAAAATGTTGACGTCAGAACTACACAGTCACCGCCTTCAGTCACCACCCCGAGCACCGCACACCGTCCCACTCTCATTTTGCCAAACCCCCAGACAACATGGCATCCATGCTTTTGCTGAGCAAGGACAACACGGAAACATGTCGAAAAGGTTAACTTTAACCACGAAACCAGATCGGCCGACCTGTAACGTTACACTCTCACTCAAAGGATGGACGATCTGACAGGATTGTAACTATGAGGTGGATCACATCTAACGAGTAAAGACAAACTCATTGTGTCTATCTAGTCATGATGAAGATGCACTGTATATATATTTCAATTTCAGCAGGCAACTATTTTTACAGCTACATTATTGTTCCAGCCACAATTAATCACAACAATGTATATACAATTACAAATGATAATATATAAATCGTCAGTTTGTTGTTTTACACACATGCACACAGACATTAGTTCATACACAACATAGTCGTGAGATGCAAGAAACAGACATATGGCAAGAAATCTGTAGACGCGCCCATAACAACAAAAGACAATACTTTATTGAACCTTTTCTGATAAGAAGTGTGCGCTGCAAACGAGAGCATTTTTGACGATCGTTTCTGTCCAGTCTGCTCATTTTATCGCGTTTAACCACAGCTGTCGTCGTTTTTTTGTCTGGCAGTGGCAGCAGATATGCGATCAAATTTCTAATTTGAGGCTGTATTACGTCGATTCTGGCACCCAACATCACAACAAGATGATATTTTAAGCTCCTCGTGTAGCCGCATCTGCGCTGGTTTGAATGGGCTGCTTCCAGCTAGCGCTGTGACGTCGGCTGACCCTAGTTAGCTGTGGTTGGCCTGGCCGTGCGTCACTCAGAAAACAACTGGCCAATCAGAAGAGAGGCTCATGAATATTAATTAGACAGACCGAAATCGACCTGTTCTCAGCAGAGCTCCTAAGAAAGGAGCTGTAAAAATATATTGAGATGGTTTTTGGTACTTATACCGCAAATATATATTCTTAAGGACATCAAAACCTCAAATAAAACTCCAGAAAGGTGTACAATATGGGACCTTTAAAAAATTTAAATAATCCTTTAATGATCTTCTTCACATCTACTCCCCTTCATGCTCTATCAGATCTTCACTCTCAATTATTATTATTTTTTTTTTGTCTTAACATGTATTTTCTTCACCACCATGGGAGCTAGAACTTTTAGTTATGCTGCCACTCATTTATGGAACTCCCTCCCTCTTGATATTCGCAGTAGTGATCCATACTCTCCATACAATAGTCGTCATACTTTTAAATCTCGCCTCAAGACTCAGCTTTTTAAACAGGACTTTTTGTGACCTGATTTTTATTGAGCCTGTATTTTTAATGCACTTGCAACCTACGTGTGATGTTGTACTCTGTGGTGATGTCTTGTTTATTGTTACTTACTTTTATATTATTTTGCTTGTATGACAACCTTGAGTGTCCTGAAAGGCACCTATGAATAAAATATATTATTTATTATTACTTCGCCTGAAAGGGATGGGAGATGGCAGTGCAGGGGTAAGCTAAGCTAACAGGTGAAGGTGAACACAGGGCTTAAAGTTTTCCGGCACCGTGTCGGATCTCCGGCGTGAGTCGTTTGGCTGCAGGAAAAAAAAAAAAAGATAGTCCTACATTTAAAAAAAACTTGTTGATATCACGTTCGAGTTCATGAGTTCGCCTACCAATGGTATGAGAGGAATACAGCTTTCACTTTCAACCAAACTAACATTACTAGTCAATCATAAGTAGAATGGGACGAGTCTTGGGAAAAAGTGTGGTTGAGATCCAGCTGCAACCGAGTCCTACTAAGCATAGATGCCGGAGCAGAGACATAGTCGGTAGGATGGAAAGTAAGATTAAGAAGCCTGGGAAAGACGTCCTAATTGATAAAGGACTTAAAAATAAATGGCGCTGGGCGTGGATAGAATAAATAGGCAGAAATGAAGAGAACCAGCTACTTCTGCACGTTGTGCTCGAGAAAGCTACGGTAAAAAAGTGCTACCACGTCACGAATTAGACCCCGAATTTGACTCGTCACGAAAGTTTATCATATGCATGTGTTTTTAAGTTTTGCCAATTTAAGCATTCAAAAGATTTTCAACCGTTCAAGTGTAAGAAATCACGAAAGAGAACTAAGTTCGGTCCTTGAGCGCTGTTTTATGTGCGCGCACAGTGAGCCGCGTCTCTGACAGCACACCATTACAGAGACGAGTTCACTTTTCTTTTCGTGCTTAAACTCCCAAATACACACAAAATTAAGTCAAAATGGCAATTTTGGCGAGTGTCCTCATTTGGTCTGAAAGTGAGAGCAGCTTGCTGTCTGTGTTATTAATATTAAAGAACAAAAGAAAAATCACTGCTCAAATTTGCTCTTGACTGAATTGGCTGAATCTTTAGTAAGGATTAATCTATAAATATGTGGTAAAACGAGATAAATACTGCTCAGCATAAACGCAAAATTAACAGTCTCACGCAGGCGCAACATGCAGCGTAGGTTTCGTTTTTTGTGAAAACATGAATGAAAGCAGAGTGCTGAAAGAAATTAAATGAAAGAATGTATGAATTAATTAATTCTATGAATGCATAAGGGAGAACTGACTGTTTCTATGATATTTGCTTTTAATTTTCCCTGTTGCGACTGCTTTATTTACAGTGGTTACCGAGGAAACCGCTCTATTTCTGCTGTTCCTTTGGCGACACCTGCTGTCAGACAGTGGAGTTACATTTCATTCAGCCCGTCTGCCTTTTTTGTTCAGACCAATGCGAAAATCGGCTCAATTTTTTGTTGTAAATCTTAACCTGTAGATGTAAAACAAGCTCATGTGCATTCTAAAAATCTCAACTCTAAAATGTCTATAATTTATGATTTTGATCCTTCTCTTAAAATGAGTTAAAGACTGAAATGTGAGGTTAATCATTTCATATTTTTTATTTATTTATTTATTTACTTACTTTTGGTCAAATCTAGTAGATAACGTGTTATGTTGTAAGTCACCAAACCAAGATTTTTTGATTGTTTATAATCCGGCCATCATTTTTAATATTAGTATTTTAATGTTTATGCAAACAAAACGTGTATAGTGCTGCTAATTTTATTTATTGTTTGTTGGTTTTTGACATTATACAGTATTTTTCCTTAAATTATGTTAATAATAATAATTTCCTGAAAATATTATGTTCTTTATGTGTAGTCTTAATTTTGATAATCCACTGAATATTTAAATAGTACTAAAACTATAACCCCCCCCCTTGCTTCATATGATTTTTACATTTTACCTAGTGAAAGTGAAGGACAACAATCTTCTTCCCATTCTGCTGGAGGAGTTTCCGCGGGTGCAGCTCTCTCCTCACACTTTGTCCCGTATGTGGAAACAGCAGCTCCGACAGATTGACCAGCTCAGCTCTTCCCAAAACCAGAACAGACAGACACAGTCCAAACTTTTAAAACAAGTGAGAGATCTAACACACACACACAGAAACACACCGATTTTATGTAAACCATTTACATTTGCAGTAGTATTATCAGCATAATGTCAGCATGACAATTAAATAACTTTCTCTATAATGTAAAAATTAAAAATGGCTAAATGTAAGAAAAAAATCTAGATAATATATTACATTATGCCTTACATTGGCATAATGTGGTGGCAAAAAAAAGGTTTTATTCACTGAAAATATTGCCTTCTGCTCTTAACACTTTTTGATACGTATGTTCATACTTATAGTGACATGCTGTTGTAGTAAGCAATATATACTGTATAGTCACATGTAATAATATGCAATAAACCTAGTCATGTGTTAACAGATTTTAGTTACTAACTGATATGTCTCAGCTGACTACTGATCAGTGTGCACAAGTTCATTGTGTTTCAGCACTGAATGGGTTCACTTTTTTGTATTTGTAGCTAGAAGAAGCTCAGAAAAGACATGACATGCTGGTGCAGATAATCCACAAAGAAAAGGAACACAACCGTCGCCTGGTAAGAGCATACTCATAATAAAGACGCAAAGACTAAATCACACAAAATTAAAAGCCTTTGAGCTCAGCAACTCAGAATCTTATGTCTGTATATGTTTCAGAGAGAGTTCAGGGAGAGGATCCAACAGCAGAAGTCAGCTCAAAATAAGCTTAGAGAACAGAGGCAACAGGTTGCTCGTGCTAAAAAATATTACAGCGTCTATCATGTTCAGCTACGTGCCAGACTGATGCAAGCAAAGACACAAGAAGAGCGAGTAAGTGCCAAATCCACAACCGCTATTATAGGTGCTTGCTAAATTGTTTTAAAACCATAACCCTTAGCATTAAACGCCTATGGCCTGCAGGCCAAGTAACTGAAATCTAATGCAGTGGCAGAATTGCCCTCACACAGATGCTGTTACTTATATATCCACTAGAGTTCCTCTTGTTGGTATCGTTAAAGGGCACTAGAGGAGGATATTCCTCGCGCCATGTCATATCTTCAAAAGTCTCATTGTTTTCTATATTTGGAGTATACAAAGACTAGGTAATTATTTGATATGTTGTCACTCTGCGGCAGAAATTCAACATCAATTTCCATTCCGATAAAATTAAATCTAGAATATTATTAGTACAATGAATGGGTCCTTAAGCATGTTGTCTAACCCCAGCAGTTCAGGATGTGTAAAAATGCCGGTCCTAATGCATCTTTTCATTATCTATGTGGATGTTAAAATTGCCAACAATTGACGTTATCTGCAAACAGTATTAATTTGGATATAAAATTAGCAAATTCATAATGTCTCTGTGATGCCCTGGTGACCTGTATACAGTAGCCAGTAAAAAAAAGTGTGATCTTAGTTGTACTCTGAAAAAGTGTCTTTCAAAGAAATGTATATATTTAAGGGTATAGGCCTATATACAATGCTTTATGAAAGTATTCATACCCCTTCATTTTTTTCACGTTTTATGTTGCTGCCTTATATTAAACTACTTTTTTCCACATCAGTCTACACTTTGTCACCATAATGACAGCAAAAAACAGGTTTGTAACAACTTCTCAAATTTATTAAAAATAAAAAACAAATTATTTTTATTGCATAAGTATTCATTTTCTGGGACACTTGAAATTTAGCTCAGGAGCATTCATATATCTTGTAGATGTCACTGCACTTCAAGTGGAGTTAACCTGTGGCAAATAGAAAAAAACAAGTCCTGAGGTCAAAAGAACTGCCTGTAGAGCTCAGAGACAGGATTGTGTCAAGAGACAGATCTGGGGATGAGTTTAGAAAAAATTCTGCCGCATTAAAGGTTCACAGAAGCATGCAGCCTCCATTATCCTTAATGGAAGAAGTCTGGAACAACCAGGACTGAGGGACTCGTCAGAGTAAAATGAAAGCTCAATGCAGCAAAATATAGAGACAGCCATAATGAAAACCTCCAGAGCATTCAGAACCTGAACTGGGCAGAACTTTCACCTTCCAACAGGACAATGACCCTATGCACACACTAAGACAATGCAAGAGTCACTTATGGACAACTCTGTGAATGTCCTTGAGTGGCACAGACAGAGCCTGGGCTTAAACCCGATCAAACACTTGCAAAGTTATCACAAATCTGCTTTTTGCTTTGTCATTATGGTGTGTAGAGTGTAGATTGATGAAAAATGGAGTAGGAATACTTTTGCAAGGCACTGATCTATCTATATAGATAGATAGATAGATAGATAGATAAGACTGGCAAGAGTGGATTCTAAATCTTCAATATTTATCTTGCTGGATCTGTCCGCTGCTTTTGACATGGTTAACCACCAGATCCTCCTGTCAACCCTATTGGCAAAGGGCATCTCAGGAACCGCACTCCAGTGGTTTGAGTCTTACCTCTCAGATAGGTCCTTCAAGGTATCTTGGAGAGGTGAGGTGTCCAAGTCGCAACATCTAACTACTGGGGTGCCTTAGGGCTCAGTTCTTTGACCACTTCTCTTCTCTGTCTACATGGCATCACTAGGTTCTGTCATTCAGAAACATGGCTTTTCATATCACTGCTATGCTGATGACACTCAACTCTCCCTCTCATTCCATCCTGATGATCCGACGATAGCTGCTCGCATCTGTTAGCTTGTCTAACAGACATTTCTTGCTGGATGAAGGACCATCACCTTCATCTCAAACTTGCCAAGACAGAACTGCTTGTCGTTCCATCAAACCCATCGTTTCATCACAATTTTACCATCCAGTTAGGCACATCAACCATAACTCCTTCAAAAACAGCCAGAAACCTTGGAGTTATGACAGATGATCAGCTGACTTTCTCAGACCACATTGCTAAAAACTGTCCGGTCCTGCAGATTTGCTTTATTCAACATCAAGAAAATCAGGCCCTTTCTTTCGGAACATGCTTCACAACTCCTTGTTCAAGCTCTTGTTCTGTCCAGGCTGGACTATTGCAATGCTCTCTTGGCAGGTCTTCCAGCCACTTCTATCAAACCTCTACAACTAATCCAAAATGCCGCTGCAAGATTAATCTTTAACGAGCCGAAAAGAACGCATGTCACACCTCTGTTCATCAATTTGCACTGGCTACCAGTAGCTGCTCGCATTAAATTCAAGGCATTAATGTTTGCCTACAAAACCACCACTGGCTCTGCACCCCTTTACCTAAATTCATTACTTCAGACTTATGTGCCCTCTAGATGCTTACATTCTGCAAGTAAACGTCGCCTGCAGTTCTTTGGATGTTGTTGTGGGGTCTTTTGTGACCTCTTGGATGAGTCGTCGCTGTGCTCTTGGGGTAATTTTGGTTGGCCGGCCACTCCTGGGAAGGTTCTCCACTGTTCCATGTTTTTGCCATTTGTGAATAATGGCTCTCACTGTGGTTCGCTGGAGTCCCAAAGCTTTAAAAATGGAAATTTATAACCTTTTCCAGACTGATAGATCTCAATTACTTTCCTTCTCATTTGTTTCTGAATTTCTTTGGATCTCGGCATGATGTCTAGCTTTTGAGGATCTTTTGGTCTACTTCACTTTGTCAGGCAGGTCCTATTTAAGAGATTTCTTGATTGCGAACAGGTGTGGCAGTAATCAGGCCTGGGGGTGGCTAAAGAAATTGAACTCAGGGGTGATAAACCACAGTTTTAACAGGGGGGCAAACACTTCTTCACACAGGGCCATGTAGTTTGGGATTTTGTTTTCCCTTAATAATAAAAACCTTCATTTAAAAACTGCATGTTGTGTTCACTTGTGTTATCTTTGACTAATATTTAAATTTGTTTGATGATCTGAAACATTAAAGTGTGACAAACGTGCAAAACAAATAAGAAATCAGGAAGGGGGCCAACACTTTTTCACACCACTGTACATACATATATACACACACAGTGGAGATCAAAATTAGAGAACAATCTATAAATACTTGATTTGTCTGAAATTTTGTTCATTTTCATCGCTCAAAATATGAAGAAATATTAGCTGTAGGTATACCACTGTTATACTGTTTGACAAAATATCCAAGGCATTTCAACAAAAACCTTTATTGTTGAAAACAGTGTGATCAAAATTAGAGAACACTGAACATTAGAGAACCACTGTAGCACAAAAGGAGATTACAACTAAAATTATGGGGGGGTTACAGCGGTCAGAAATTAGTAGGAAGTGTAGAGGCCCTTGATTTGAATAACTTCAGCACATCTTTGGCTGCAGGACATCACGCTGGTGTGATCTTGGTCCACTCTTCTTCCAGTCTCTTCCGTAGTTCAGTGACTGTAGTGGGTTTCTTAGCCATAACTTTGTCACCAAGGATTTTCCAGAGATTTTCAATCGGGTTTAGATTAGGACTCTGGGCCGGCCATTTCATTATTTCAATGTTTTTAGCTTCGCAGTGTGACGGAAACATTGTCTTGCATGAAAGTCGCATGCTGAAGGAGGTTCTGATAAACATTTGCATCCTCCAAACCATAACTCTTCCTCCTCCACCTTTCACTGACTACTTTACGTACTTGAGCTTCAGTCTTTCCCCAGTTTGATGCCAAACAAAATGTTTCCCACCAAACCCAAATAAATTAAACTTGTTCTCATCACTAAAGTGAACTTTGGACCAGTTCTCCTCTCTCCACACAACATGCTCCTCAGCAAAGGCAACCCTTTACATATGCGACTAAATCTTCAATCTGGGCTACTAAATAATGTCTATCGTTAGCCATTGGCTAATAAATTCTTAGATTTTACTTACCAGTGTGTGTTAGAGGCTAATTACAAGTTAGCATAGATATATTTTCACTCGCTGAACACTCAGACTAAGCACTTGAGAGTTTTGCTCTCCATCAAGCGTTCTGTGCTATAATTCAATTCAGCTCAATGGATGCGCAGTGTTACCTGTATTTGATGTAAAGTACAATAAACTCTAGTGTGAAGGCGCACGACTCGCCGTCGCTTTGCTGAGAGCGCTGTGTTTCTCACACATGCAAAGAGAGAGCGAGAGTCTTACATATCACGCTGAATCGACGTGCTACATGTAAACGGTATTCTTTGTTGTATTTTCCTGTAAAAATAATGGAGTTCATTTGGAATTATTCAGCTTTTATGAACAAGCAGAAGATAATGCGGTTTTTCCAGTAGTAGGCGGAACTAATGCGCAAACGGCAATCTAATTGGCTGGCTCTCATCTATTACCGTCCCTGTTTTGATTTCAGCAAATCAGCTTGATTATATTGCCAAGGTGTGCATAGAGGGTTGAAAGGTGAGCCTAGCCTTTTGATTCTTTCTACTGTTGAGAGGCTTGGTCACTGCAGAGTGGGCTTTCAGTCTGACTTCTCTTAAACATGCCGAGACAGATCCTTACCCTGTTCAGTGCTGAACTGGCAAGCTATTCCAGCTGCAGTGTTGAACTGATTCCCTATTGAGAGTCCTCTGCATTATCCTGTCTTCTCATGCTTGTCTCTTACGTGGGGGACCAGCCTTTTTGGGGGACTTGAATGAATTAGTGTCATTGTAAACCTGCAATATTCGAGGAATCACAGATTTGAAATGACCAACTTCTCTTGCAGTGGCTGAAAGAATCATCTCTTTGGCCTTCATCTAGACAACCTCCTGTCGCAGAGTTTCAGTCACCTTAGAGCGGCCCGCCATCTTGCAATCTCAGTGAAAATTAGAGGAATGCTGCCAGTTAAATAGTGTTTGTCATATAATTAAGGAAATTAGCACCTGCTGCCAGATCTCTGAACACCAATAACTTGAAGTTATCTTTAAGTGTTCCCTAATTTTGTTATTTTTAAAATAAC